CACTGGTTTTCGTTTTGTTTTTTTAAATTTATTTTTCTCAAAACTACAAGAAAATAGGGAAAGGGAAACCATGAACTACAGGAGAAAGTAAAGATAAACCACTAAAAACCCAAGAGTTGGTGGTCATATAATGATTACAATAAAATAGCTTTAAGTTTAAAAAGAAAAGAGTAATTTGTTACATTGAAGGTGATCGTTAAAACCGCTTAGATAATTCAAGTCCAGGTATTCTGACTTAGTAAGAACATGGCAAAAGAACGATTAAGTAACACGCGTCAAAAGTTAAACTTCAGAGCAAATTAGCATCTCATTTGCCTCTTCTTTCCCTCAATTGATATCCTTGCTTGGGGGCAGCCGCCCCACATTCCGAATCTTCTCCAGTTAGTGTTTCATCATCACTCCCCTTGTTGCTCTTCTAGTCCTCTTCCCCTGTAGGATCCAGTCATTGCTGCAAAAACCCACGTGCTTTCATAACAGAGTCAATTTCCCCCCTCTTGTCTTTGAATCTGAAGAGTATACCTTCGGGTATGATCCATTTGTAGGATATGTTGTTCTTTTGTAGAAACAAAGCCAAGTCTCTGTATTTTTTTCCTTTTTTCCCTTATTTCAAAGGGGATGTCTTTCAAAACTCTTATCTCCTTGCCATCAATTTTAAGGGTAGTTCCATTTGTTGCTTTTAATATCTGACCCCTCACGTATCTTCTGGAGAATCTTACCACCACCTCGCCGGGCAGATTATTTTGCTTTATAGATTCTGAATATGACCTGTAAATCACATCCATTTCGCCTTGGTTTTTGTACCCCACACAGCATCCACGTGACCAATGACGACCACGGGCGCCAGGGTGTGTCCTGGACCAAGGAAGTGACCGTGATGGTTGGCGACACGACCGTGCAGCTGTTGCAGGACCGGGTCGTCATGGTGAGGAGGGCAGAGAGGATTGGGAGTGGTGGTCCTGCCCAGGGGAAGCTTGGGGGGGGGCTCCCGGGGCATCGACGGCTCCCTGGTAGGGTTGAGAGAGCTCTCCCGAGCCCCCAGACAGTGTTGGCTTCCCTGCTGCTTTCTGCATCACATCTGGGGCCCCTTCCCAGCGGAAGAACACACCACGAGCTGCGTGGCTGGAACAGGCCTGCCTCTGACCTCCTCCGGGGGCGGCTTGTCAGTGCCCCGTACCGCCTAGAGCCCCTGGGGTTTCGTTCCCCGTATCCTCCCACTCACAGACGAGATCTGGCCTCCGTGTTTGGGGAAGCAGAGAGGTCAAGAGGTCAGGTCCCTATTGAGCCTCCCCTCTCTACCCCTCCATAGAGTCTGGGTAGGGGAGAAATTTGTGACTGAGAAAGCCACTGTGAGGGAGTGTGCTTCGGGGGGGGGGGGGGGTTGTTGCTCCCGGTTCCTCCTTGAAGATCTTCTGGCACACGCGTGCCACGATGACATCACCAGAAGTGACGTCATCACGATTCCAACATTGGGAGTGACGCTCTAGGCTTTGGGCAAAACTCCATGGGGGGTTTTTGGCCTCCAAACCATAGAGTCTTGCCCTAAATCTAAAACGTCACCCGCAACATAGCAAACATGATGACATCACTCCCAGATGATGTCATCGCGCCAGTGGTGCCAGGAGGGGGCTTCTCGGGGGTGGGGCTTCCCCCGCTGGCCAGCTGGGTTGCGGTGGATTGGGGACCCTGAAATCGGGGATCCTCAGACCCCACCGTGGGTGTGTGTACGTGTGTGTGCGTGTGACAACCCTAGGTGGTGGACAGAGTGGCAGACTAGGGCCCCGGGCGACCCAGGTTCAAATCCCCACTTCTGCCACGGAAGCTCGCTGGGTGACCTTGGGCCTGTCACAACCTCTCGGTCTGGCCTACCTCGCAGGGATTCTGTTGTGAGAAAGTGGTGGAGGAGAGAATGATGTTCTTAAGCCCCTTTGAGTCCCAGCCGGGAATAATATAAGGATATAAATAAATGAATGCAGGCAAGGTGAATTTCCGGTATTGTGCGGGGGGTTGGACTAGATGACCCTGGAGGCCCCTTCCCACTCTGTGATTCTGTGATTCTAAGCCAGCAGCCTGAATATCTTCGTCCCGTTCCCCAGGTGGACTCCCAGACTGTGACCCTTCCCTTCCTGCAGGAGCCTCACCTGTACGTCGAACTCAAGGCCAACACTTTTCCTGCTGACCACCGACATCGGCGTGAAGGTATGGAATGCCAGGCGGGTGGGTGGGAGCGGACGGGGAGGCCAACCGGGGATAAAAGGAGCAACTGGACTTCTGTTCTGTTTGCCAACCGCTGACTAACATGGCTGGAATTATCTAGGCAACCACCCCAAACAAAGCAGCCTGGCACAATATAAGAACATAAGAGAGAAGCCCTGTTGGATCAGGCCAGTGGCCCATCTGGTCCAACACTCTGTGTCACACAGTGGCCAAAAAGACCAGGGGCCATCAGGAGGTCCAGCAGTGGGGCCAGGACACTAGAAGCCCTCCCACTGTTGCCCCCCCCCAAGCACCAAGAACACAGAGCATCCCCTGCCCATAAGAACGTAACGAAA